AACAGACTGCTGAAGCGAGAACTGAGGGGATCATTTTGGTCTGGGTTGCAATTGCCAAAAAAGATACAGGATATTTTTTCTGTAAACCACTTCTCTGTGAATTCTAGCACAATTTCAACCTTTTTTCCTGAGTGGAATTTATGGGAAGGTGTGTGAAGGCTGGCAGCACTTATCTATCTTGTATCTGTTCTGCAGCATGCTTGAATGGGGTTATTGTGTCAGCAGGACTTAATATTAAAGGCAACATTCAACTTACAACATTACAAAGTCGATTTGACTCTGCAGTGAAAACCAGCCCTGCTCTTCTTGCATTTCTATGTACAAATGCTAGTTGTGCTGCAATTAGCAGCAGTTTCATTTAGGCATGGTGCTCAGATGTGAATGCTCAAACACCTTCCAGGATGCAGTTTAAATATTTCAAAGCCAGAAAAACGTTATCAGTGTTTGTATTGAACCAACTTGCATGACCATTTGCTTACTGAGGGCTGTAACCAACAGTCTGAGCAGCCTTTTCCTCCATGAAGTCCAAATTTCGTGTAAGTTTTTCTCCTCAGTGCTAATGGTTTAAATACCTACTCATTACTCAGTAAGACTCTGTCCCTGGAGTCTTACAAAGACCGGAGGCAAAGGAGGAGTCTAAATGTCACTTCATGTCCCAAAAATGAAGACTTGGTTTGTCTGAGGTGCCTTTCACCCAGTGCAAACATGCACACATGCTTTAGATTTCTCTCGGTGTCCATAGGACTATTCTTAGCAGTGCAGTGAAACGTGGTTGTGTTAAACATGCTACAGAGGAGGTTCAAAATAAATCATGTCTCAAATTGACCTGATTCTCTTCTTTGTTGTTTTCTTTTGGCTATAATATAGCTCACAAAGGGATAAAATGCTGCACTGAAAGTAGCAGTTTAGTTTGTTTCTCTCTGATGCAACTGGTGACACATTTTGCTATTTCTGACTTAATTTCCATGCTTTCCTTTGATTGCACAATTCTCAAAGGTGCATCCTCCATTTTACATTAAGCAAACTGTTTTAATAATATGTATATTCCAGGTACTTGTAGCTAAATAAAAATAATATACTGTCTGGATACTTACACAACTGGCTCACTTAAGGGATTTGGTAAATATCTGTGAATTTTTACAGGTAATTCAGAAACTCCATGTCAAGCAAGCTCCTTTAAATCCAGTTATTTCTGCTCTGTTCTTTTCTGTTCTTTGCAGACATTTTGTTCTCTCAGACCATCTCACGGCATCACATCCCTAGCAGCCAATACTGATTCTTGTGTCCATGCTTAGGGTTGTTTTTTTTTTTGCGTTTTATTTTTTTTCCAGTTCCATCTTTAATAAGCCTCCTGGGCTTTCTTTGAAGATTTCATTTGCAACTGCAAAGAAACCCTTGTGTTTTCCTAATCTTCTATATGGATTAAAAATGTTTTAAAATACTTTATTTTAAAGACTGAACATAAGAGTTCTTGAAGATACATGGAGCTGGGTACTTGACACACATCTCAACTCAAGCCTGATACACAGAAAAAGTAAAAAATGTGTAAAATACTTTTCTGCTTTCTTTAACAAGTTGCTTTGAGCCTGTAGTAATGTTTAAATTCCTTCCTGGGTTCACTGAGGTCTGTAAATATGTTTCTTTCCTATTTTCCTCCACATGTTCTGATACTTGTATGTATACAGAAGTTCCTTCACATACTTGGGGAATAATTCTAGTATTTTTCTTTGTAACTTCAATCTCTTTTAAAGTCTTGGCTGAAGTTCTTGAGACATATAGAAACAACCTGAGATCACCTAAAAGGAAATGTGAAATGTCATGGTACAAACCCAGCCTTGCAATGTCAGAAAGTTTGCAAGCGAGAATATATGCCTTTTTCTGAGGCAACACAGTTTTAACACAAATACTTGCCCAAATCTTGTTGCTCTGTTCCAGCACAATCCCTGGAGAGAAATGGGCAATGCTGAGAAACTTTTGGAAATGGTTGGGGAAAAAAGGAGTCACAGAAAATGGGTGATGACCACACATGGATCTTACTGCTCCTGCACATGATCTCAAGAGGTCAGGAAGGGCTTTTAATTACATGGTTGAGTGGTGCCTAGCACAGCAAAGCTTTGAACCCTGCTAAAGGTTTTTGGATGTTATGGGAATGCCAGTAAATATTGTGCTATTTAACCAATGGTTATTGTAGCGCTTTCAGAATTTGTTTTGTTCCCACAGGTTTTATTTTTATCCACATTCCTCAGCTATGTGTTGGTGTGACTATCACTGCCATTGTTCTGCCAGGATTGTTCCTCACTGTATTCTAGTCTACTTTATTTTTGGATTCTGAGTATGACATTGACCTCTAATCAAATGCAATGTCCCTGACTGAGCTAGGCACCTTAGGGTTTTCCCCTGCTTGTGAAGAGTTAATCAGTGTAGCTGGGACTAGAGCACAGCTGATGTCTGCTGAAGCAGATGCCTGTGCTTGGTCAGATGAATGCACCCTTCAGCTCCAGCAGTTTGATTGACTCCATCCCCCTCGGCAGTCCTGCCACAGATACCTAAAGCCAGGAGAGGTGAAACCCATCCCTGGGGACCTGCTCCATGCTTCCTGTGCAACTAAGCACGGCAACATGATGTGTGGAGGGTGCTTAGCCCCATCCCCATCAGAGGCCTGGGGGCTGCAGGGGCTGTCTCCCCACCCAGCAAAGGGGCTCCTCTCAGTTTGTCCTGTTCTGTGACTCTGTCATAACCATGGCCACAGAGCTGGCCACATCTAGGGCAGAACATCAGCTCCAGATAACCATTTATCTCCCTTTCTCAGCAGAACATCATCTTCCCTCCCTGCCCTGTCCTCCCCTTTGGCTAATCCCTGCTGCTGTTCCCAGTGCTATCCCTGTGCCCATAGCCATGTGGGGTGATTCACCATAGCCTGGTGGAACACCAGTAGTAGCAGGGCTGATGAATTTCAGGGTTAGTAAAAAGTCTGATTTTGTGACTTGCAGTAAAGATTGCCTCTGATTTAATACTCAGACATCCAGGATGTGAATTCCCTGGGATAACCAGGCTAGTATCTTAGAAAGACCTCTGTAAGGTACAGTGCAGCCAGAAGTCTTCTTTAGCTCAGAGACTGCACCCCAAAATTGTAGAAGGCAGACTGATTGTGAGCAGCAATATGACACCAGTGCTGGGAGGAGCAGTGACCAGCTTTCTTAGAATGGCACAGAAATGAGGAGGAAGTGAGAAAGCTGATGGGGAAGATGCTTTAGGGTGTGAAAATTTTTGTTTCACAAAAGGGAAGGTGAGCAGACAGTATGTGCCTACTGATGGCAAGCTCTGATCCTACGACACTGCCTCAAGAAGCAGAAGCATTTGGAGACCAGCTGTCCTAATTGTGCAGCCTGTTCAACACCATGGACTTGGACTAACATTTCCACAGCACAAGAGATGGAAAAATATTTTGTTATTTTCTCATTTACTTCTTTGTGGAAACATGTTGTCTAGAGGTGATGTGGTCCATGTGAAATACTCCATGTGCTTCCAGTGATTTTGGGACTAGCACTTGGGCATCCTGTCTGCATTTCATAGCTCAGAGGCACTGGGCTAGCTCCAGTCAGAGCTGCCATACCTGAGCAGTGCTGTGCTGAGGTAGCAGTCTGAGCCTGGAGACCAGCACAGCAGTTCCACTGGTGATCCATGTCTCTGCAGGAGAATTAGCTGACCAGGCTGCTGTGCTGAGGTGTTAGGCTGCTTCCCAAGGCTGGACTATTTTGCTGGGCATTAACTCTGCAACCTTTGCTCTGTTGCTGTTTCTGCACCAGACAGAGCTGTGGTACAACAGACAACATGACAAATACTGATGCAGCTGAGGTTATTTCAGTCTCTCTGTTGCAAGATAGCTGTACCCAGATTAGGACAATTTGGAGTGGATTTGGTGATCCTTAATAAGTCAAGAAGACCTGGGGCTGGCTGTGTAAATCAGCATAGCAGATCTATAATGCAAAACCAAAAAATTCAACAATGTTACGACTTTTAAGATAAGAGCGAAGCCTCTTGGCTCACTGAAATGACAGCAGCTCAAATAAAGTGGCACTGAAAAGGTAATGAAACCACTGCACTAGCTGTAAGCTATCTGGCAGGGATGCTGCTGAGAAAATTGGTGCAGCAGCAAGAATTCTGCATGGATTGCAAAACGCTGCTGAGAAGCTATATAAAATCACCATAGGTTCACATTTCAGCTAGTTGAAACACTTACAGTTCAAAAACTAGTAGGTATGAAACAAGTTCCTGCTCTTGGACTTTTCTAGACTGCCTCCAACCTTGGATGATTTCTTCTATCTTTTCCCTAAACATTAATTTATTTTTTTTTTTCTAATGGACTGACCATTTAATCAAAGCATAGTGACAAGAATCTTGCTTGCTTTGATTGTTTGTCCTGGATTCTTTAGAAATAGTTCATGAAGTCCCTGCAGACTGTAGACCACAGACTGAAAATCATTTAATAATTCTCTTTGCATGTGCCTTGCAGGTTCCTGGGACACAGCATGCCCTTCAGCAGAAAAATCAGGGTGATGCCTCACAAATGCTTTAATAGGCTATTTGAGACAGAAGATGCATTTTTAGGTCAAGACAGAGGAGTGTGTATGGCAAAAAGAACCTGATTGACAACAAAAGGGCTAAGTGACATTTAGAGTATGATAATGAATTATGTTCTTAATTTCTTTTACATTCAAAAATTTTCTTTATGAGATAAGTGAATTTGTGGAGTAGAAAACACTGTTAGAACTCCTCAGCTGTGGCTAGGTTGGGGGTTTTTAATGTTAAATTTGGGTTAGGAACAGTGTGTGGCTGTTACTTTCTTCTTCAGTTATATTTTTAACTTTTGGCAAAGTCTCATAATCTTGAAGATGTTTATTTTTATAGATTTCAGAACACAAAATAAATAAAAACAAACTATTTGTATCTGTGTGTGTGTATAATTCAATGTCATGACTATGACTTTCTCTGGTCAAAACCAGGACCCAGCAGCTGTTTTCTTCTGCAGCTGTGGAGAACTCGAATAATACTTGATAGTGTTAAAGGTACAAAATATTAAAAAAAACCCCAAGCATTGTCTTTGCTTCCAGTAAGAGAAAGTTATTTATGCAAGAGCTGCCAAAAGATGAAACTCATGTTGTAACACTGCGTTTTTCCAAGCAAGCCCATCCCAGCAGCTGGGGAGGGGCTTGCTACTCATTTTCCTACACTAGGAAATACTTCCATGTAGGGAGAATTTATCCTGAGACACAAAGACATCATTGAAGAAGGGCATCCTGGACCCTCTGTGCTTCTCCTGGCCCCAGGTACTATGGTATTGCTCCCCTTGCATGACAGGGTGGCTGTGGGAGGCAGCTGGACTCCTTGTGCTACTGATCCTAAGATTCCTCCTCCATCAGCTTTGGAAAAGCTTGTAAATGTTTCTGTGGATGGGGAGTTTTTCCGTGTTTCAGAGTCAGAAACGGGAAGCTCAGAAGGGTCTTCATTTGGCACAGCCTCGCTCGGAATGATTTTGCCTCAAGGCATGAGAAGCATGAGCTAGTAGGGCAGAGGTTTTAGGGCTCCGTTTTTGCAGAGACTTAAAGAATACCATGATCATTAAAGGAGCTTTCTGATATTTCTGGCTCTAAAAAGTCTAATAAAAATTTAAGTGGGAAAACATACCAAAGTCACCCTTATTTTCTGTATTTATAGCTCCAGTTCTCACAATACACCACAGACATTACTAGCCATACAAGGCTGCCTCCTCAGTAAGGAGATCTGTGCTGACATCCCCTGAAGTCTGGCATGGCAGGAGCTGAGTGCCCAGCACTGTGTGCAGTGCTGGGCACAGGAACTCTTGGAGGAGCAGCAGGCAGAGCCTGTACAGGCACAAAGGCAGCCCCACCAGAGCAGGACACTCTCTGCCACCATCCTCCAAAGGCAGCTTAAAGGAGGCAGCTGAGTACAGGCATGGGGAGGAGGACTGGAGGGGGCACCTGCAGCCTTGCCAGCTCTAGCACTGGGGCAGGAGCTCTTGCCACAGCCTGTGCATGCTACTGCTGACTGCAAATCCAAGACACAGCCTTGCTTCTGCAGCTGGACTTTGCTCTGAGGAATAGGGGTGTCCTGGATACCTTCTTGTTAATGAAACCTTATTTGCTGTGAATAAATTAGTAGCATCTCTCTGTTTTGAATCCCTTGGGAATGTGCAGTACTGCCTCTGCTTCTGCTATATCAAGCATGGACCTTACCTGCTGGGTTAATCACCCAGTTTCTGTCCTAGGTGTGTCCTGCCAGCTTTTCTGAGGCAATAATCCCACCTTAGCTTTGCTTTAAGTAACACAAAAAATACAATATGCTCAGCTAAAGTATTACTAAGCATGAGGCAGTCTCCTCTGGTTTGCCATAAATGGCTAAAATATGAAACCAACAGCTACCTCATCTTCTCTAAAATGTTCCTATTTTGCTAATTATTTAATGAAGGCTAAGGACTTTATGTCTCTTTCCAGAATTAAGGCCTCAGCCCCATTGCTTCAATGAGCCTAGATGGGTTTTACTGCTGGGATCAGCTGCCAGAACTCTGGAGAAGTTGGAGGTTGACACTTGGAATGGTGATGCCTCAAAAACAAAATGTGGAAAGAGACTACTTGCTGGAAGAAAACACAGTTCCTTGAAACAGTGCACACAAGACCACCTGAGCTTCTCCCAAGGACCCAGAAAGCTGGTCTTGTGACCAGCTGCCTTAAATCTGTGGTGTCTCTGTGGTGTCCTATGGGAACAAGGTAAATTTTCAGTTGCTGTGGTTCTGATCCTCTGTATAGAGAATGGCTGTGAAGTGTATTTTTTAAAATTTTGTAACTACTGCTAGAATACAGTAATTATAAAGATTATTTTATCTGCCCACAGGAAATTTACTTAACCAGCTTCCAGTAACTTCTACTTGTCTTCACCCTGACCTATCTGAATTCTTTAAATGCTGCTCCTAAGTAACACTGACTTAAAAGAAAAACCACCCTCACCCTGTATTTAAATGCAGAAGGTGTCCTAACCTCTCTAGGTGGGAAATAACATGGAGTTTTAATAGTTTTCAAGAAGCAATATTCTAAATTGGGACCTAGCAATTGCAGTGGATTATCACTGGCCAAAAAATGATGACATCTTCTTCCTGGGAGCACCAAAATTAATAAGAAAAGGTTACTTTTGTCAATGTAGTACTCTTGTCTCTTCCAAGGGAAACACTGAGGAAACTTGCAGGTAGCATCAAGTAAAATGAGTTGGGGATTTTTACGCATTCTGAGAGAAAAAGACCACAGATCTATTAATTTCTTTTTTTTTAGGTATGAGGGTTTATTGTGTGAACTCCTTAACTAAGGGTACCATAGATAGTAAAGGTTTCTATAAGTTCAGAAAATGTCTATACTGAATCATGAAGGAAAAATTTAGCAGGTGCTATTATACACAAAGACATCACCTCTGGCTCAGGATGTCCCTGAGTGCAAACCACTAAAAGCTACTAGATATGTTAGTGACGTGCTGTTATATATGTAATTTGTATCTTGTCCTTTGCAGCCATTACTGGCTACAGCTGGAGACAAAGTACTGGGTCTGAAGGACTTTTTTTTCTGATTTGGTAGAGACTTTTAACTCTTGTGCTTTTCTGCACATTTCTCATTTAAATTAGACACACAGCAGGCAGAAATTAAGACCTATTTTACCTGTTCTATAGCAATAGGCTAGAAAATTTGCAGTGCCTGTGCCAGGTTCAGTGGCATTAGCTCAACATACATGCCAATCTCTGTTCTTCCAAGTCCTTTTGCATGAGTACCCAGGTTATTGCATTCAAACCCAGTTCTTGCTCATGGAATCCCACCTGTGCACCAGGGGGTAAGCATGGGTCCTAGACTGTCAAACACAGCTGGCATCATCCTAATGACATCCTGCACAGTTGCCACTTAAAAGCTTCTCCAGTGGTCCTGCACAAGAGCTCTGAAGTGCTTGGGCCACAGAAGTTACCCTCAGCATATCTATCCACCTTCCTGTCACACACTCTTGGTTTGAAGATCTACAGGGCCCAGATCATGTGGAAAATTGTTTCTGAATTTCATTATTGCCTCTGTGAGAAATTAGCAATGTGGTTCTTATCTGAATTTGCCAAACCAGATACCAGATATAATTTTACTTTTCTGCTGCATATAAGAAAGAGTCATCTTCTATCAGAAATAGTTCCCATGAAGGCATTTCTGGGTCTGATCAAATGGCCTTTTGACCATCTCTTTAGTAAACTAAAGAAGGGTTAAGGACCTCTGATGAAAAACAACAAAATTGTTTTGGGTTACTGAGTACTGTTCAGCAGCTGAGCTGCAGCAATGGGCTGTTCTTGTGCTCTGAGCTTGCTGCATGCAGAGATATGTGCAAGCCTAAGTCCCTGTGAACTGTATTTTATTTGACAATTGGAGCAGCCAAAGAGGTCACCTTCTCTAACCCAGTCAGTGAGCAGCAAGCTCCTTGATTTGGATTTGTGTCCAAGCTTTGGACTGATTTATCCTCTCTGTGTACATTCAGTGCCTTGTCACAAAGCTCAAGGGACTGAAGTGGCTATGATACAGATTTTTAAGTAAAGTCAAAGTGAAGACATGGGAAGGGCAGAGAATGGATTTTGCACTGTTATGTAGCTCTCAGCCACAATTACAGTTTGAAAACAAGCCAGGGGATTTGTACTATTGGGAATACTTGGGACATTTATTTGAGGTTCAGAGAGAAATTCCAGGTGGTTCCCACAGTATGACTTTTCTCAGACCTTTGAAAGAGGTGATTTAAAATTTCCTCTGTAACTAAATGATTATAACTAGCAACAACTTCCTCCTGTTTGCAATTTAGTTAATATTAAATTTGTTGCTGTCATTTTTGTCTGAAGGAGCTTGGTAATCCAGCTGATTATTGGCTCAGGAGAGATCAAGAAATAGTGTTCTTCTGAGAGCAGGCACCCAAAGGCTTCAAGCCTATCATATTTGATCACTGCATGAGCCCTGGGCTGGGTAGTGAGGGTAAAGAAATATTTCTTCCTGAAGAGTTTATCAACAGCATCTTTTCATCAGGGTAGGTAATTATTATGGTTAAATGCTTCTTGAAGTTCTGGAATTCTTATGAGTGTAGATTTTATATACATGGAAAAGCTATTGTAAGAGAATATAAAATCATAAAGCCTTTTCAATTAGGTAGTTCACTGATTTGCAGCAGGTTGGGGTTTTTTTGGGAGGTTGACCTGATCCAAAGCTTATGGAAGTCAGTGCAAAAACTCCAAAGAGAATCCTGGCTTTAATTCAAGGAATTAAGTTGTATTCCTTAATGCCATAGGATATTATTGCACTAAAGAGCTTATTAAGATTAAAATGGGATTAGGCATTACTATGAATGAATGCAAAATGTTTACATGGCTGGGATAAAGATTCAAAGCTTTATTCCATATTTCAGGGAAACTGCTCCAGACTGAAGCAAAGAAAAATATATTGCATATCATAGCATTACACACAATGCAGTGCATGTTGTGCCTTCCAAAGAGAGAAACCTGGCACTAATGGTAGGATGTGGAGCAAAAATCTTACTCTATTTTCCAAAGAAGCAGTTCTCACCAAAGATAGAAATAAAAATGTCTTGTGTTCTTCCATGTTCTTTGTTTTGAGGTTGAGACTTTTGCTGTTTTTTTCATATTTATTTTTCAGCAGCTGAGAACCCGGCATCTTAGTCTTGTTATCAGAAGCATACAGATGGCTGCTAAACAGAGCTTCCTGCGTATTTAACTTTGATACTGTAATGGCTGAGCATGAATTTCATATGAAAAGCAAACTTTCTATACATCACTAGTGTACAGCTTGAGAGACAACAGCAGTGGAGATGGCCCAGCGTGACTGCCCTGACTCCTGCGGGAGCTGCGCCTGTTCTGTACCAGATGTTCTCTGCAGGGGATTCTTGGAAGCTTTCTACAACACAGTCACAAATGTACTGACTGTCAGAGCCTTCCCAGCTCCCATGGGGCCCGTGTTTTCCCAAGAAAGGTATTTGTCAGGACTTCTTGATAACAGCTACTTAATATTTTCATGTTATTATCAGACTGTTCTTCCTTGTTTTATCCTCACTCATATTTATCCTCCTTTGTTATCTATACCCTGCAACTACTTCCAGGTGGGAATCATAACTCCACTTGACTCTTTCAGGGGGCTGTGCATGCTGGAGCAACTTCTCTGATGCCTGTGGTGTCCTTACTCCTCCTTTCTTCATTTTTGTTTACTCTTCATTCTCCTTCTACATGAGTTCAAAATACAGAACGGTTTATCCGCTTCTGTCCTCAAAATGCCTAGAACTGAATGGAGCCTTGTGGATGGGGATGCAATAGTGTTAAGATCCTCTCAGATTTATTATAATATAGCTTCTTGTACTATTTCTGTACAGGCAGCTTTAGTTCAAAACTGCCTCCTTTGCTGACCATATTTCATTCCAATGTAATTGTTGACTTGTTTTCCCTTTGCTCTTGTCCGAGACTGGTGCTTACCAGGTCATCTAGCTTAAGGTTTGTGTTGGACTTTCCCTGATGCCTCCATCTGTGTGTTCCTCATCCCAGCTGTCTGTAGGTGACCTGGCCGTGTGCTGACATTTTCAGGACTGACTGTGCTGCACCATTGCAGTGGCCCCCTGTTAGTGAAGTTCAGTGTCCTCGGGCTGGAGTAATACACTTGCTTGGAGACCAGGGTTATAACTAATTCATTAGTTCACAATGATGCACTTACAAAGTGCCTAGCATGGACAGACCTTGGTCCCAGTGAATGTTTCTGGTAAAACTGCAGTTGCTAAAGCCTCATCTAATACAACTTCTTGTTTTCCACATGGTTGTCCTTCTGTTATTTTTCTTCCCTTACTTTCAGACCTGCAGCCAGTTCCCTGCTGCAGACAGGTGCAAGATTGCTATGCCCATGCCAGCAGCTGTCTGGACGATACAGATTTGAGCTGGCTTGAGTCCAGATAGCTCTTGTGAGATGAACAAATGTGTTTGCTTCTCCCTGTGCCAAAGTGGTGTTTTGATCAAGCAATGGGAGTTTGTGCCTCAGGTCACTGCTGGGACAGAAGCCTCTGTATGACTGAGGAATTGACCTTGCCTTCCTCTGCCTATGGCCTATTTGCCCCTCTACAGCCCCTGTAAACCTGCCTAGGTCATACTTCCAAGAGATGTGTTCCAGCAGCCCTCAGTGGTGGGGGTTTTAATGATCCTGGGATTTCTATCTGTTGCTCCTTTTGGTGTCCTGTCCAGAGGTGAGGGGAATTAAACCACAGGTTTTTCTCCTAATAGCACAAGACATAGATTCTCCCACTGATGTTATTCCTGCTTACCTACTGTCACCCATGATTACAGGGTCAGTGTGGTGAGAGTCTGGAGCTCCCACACTTGGATGTGTTTTTCCCCAAGTTCTCTTCCTTCCTGGAAGGTTGTGCAGCCACTGCCTCCCAGAGAGAGCAAGGTCTCTTGTAAGGGACCAAGTTCAGCTTGCTCAGTGCTTTATAAATTATTTGTGCCTTGAGTGGGTGCTCTTCTTCATCATCATAACAGGCTCAGAACTGCTGCAAGTGCTCCTTGGCCAGCTGCTAGACCCTCCCTGTCTGGCACAGACCACAGGCCAAAGCCCAGGGTACAGCTGTGGCAAGCAGCTTTCTGAGCTTCACCACGTTCCTTCTCTGTGTTCTCCATGTTCTTGAAGGTATCCTTCCTTCCTGTGGACTTTTTCTGTGCTGACCACTGTCCTGACCAGGGTCTCAGGGTACCAAAATCATTCTTCCTTCCCAGTGCCCCCCTGTCTAAAGTCCTACTCCTCACAGGGTAGTGTAGTTCATCTATTTCTGTCCTATCCCTTGTCTGCTCTGACATCTGGCAGTCTGTTGTATGTTGAGTATGTGCTGGTGATTGCTATGCTCAGCCACTTCATTTACAGCCTCAGGAATGTGAGAGGCCCCCAGAAAAATGCCAGAGGCAAGAATGCGTTTGAAAATTCCTGAAGGCTTTGATAGAGAAGGTATTCTTTTCACCCAGCAGGAACAGCAACACCAAAATTCTCACCATAGTTATTCTAAACTCCAAGGAGAGGAGCAACATAAAATGTGAGAGTACATGTTAAAGGTAAGTTGAAAGTTTCAACTGACAGATTTAATCATTATGTACCCCCAGCACAGAGGCTGCAGCCATCCACTCCCTCCAGGTGGATTACAGTTGGTGTGGAAGAAGCTCAGAACCATAAATGCTCCCTGCCTTGGGCTGTCAGGACAAGCTTTGGAGGTTCAGGTGCCTAACATTAGTATACTGAGCTGATCCACCTTCAGCAACCCTGACAGCACTATGGGGACTGGGAACAAGGTTTCAAAGTTAAGCAGTCTGGTATGAGGAAATTCCAGAGTTGGGCACATTTATAAGCATGTGATACAATCTTTTATTTTAATTGCATAATCTTATGTTCTTTTTTTCTTTTTTTCCCTTTTTTTTTCCTTTTCTTTTTCTTTTTTTCTTTTTCTTTTTTTTTTTCCAAATCTGTCTAGATTTGCATCACGGTGGTGTGGTGATGCTGAAACAGACTGTTGGCTGGAATAACCTGCCCACCCTATGGAGCATTACATAAATGCTTTCAAAAATAGACTTGTTGTTCCTCAGATCTCCAAGCTGAGGCCCTGGATCTTACTGTCTGAGTGAGATCTGACTCAGAGAGAATGAGATTCACTAATGAGTACTTACAGCTGCAACCACAACTAATGACAGCTGCATTTTAAAGTTCAAGATAAAATGTGAAGTACTCTGAAAAATCAAGTATTGAAGACCTAAAGGTGGTGGGTACTCTCAATTTGCCTAACTCTCAAAATCCCATTTATAAAATAGAAAAGTGCCCCACAAAACACAGAGTGATATTGTCAGGGTACATTTTTTAGCCTACACCTTATTGATCAATACCATAGGAAAATGTGACAGTGGCTTGATACTGAGTGAGGTATTACACTGAGAGTTTGTGGTTGTGGGGTTTTTTTGGGGGGGGGTGGGGGGGGTGGGGTTTGTTTTCTTTCTTTCTTTTTTTTTCTTTAATTGTATTTTTATTTATTTTAAACTGAGATTCCTGAGGTGATTTCGTTTTGGGGGGATGGGGTGAGGAGGAGGACAGAAGCAAGACAAATGCTTCTCACTGTTCCAAATGTTCATTCTTCTTTTCTTGCAGAGATTTGGGTTTAATTAATTGTTTCACTACAGTCAGAAACTGGGGTCAGCGAGGATGGGACTCAAAATTTGGTTATGGTTTTAAGTAGATATAACTATGTGAGAAGATGTTTTTCTGGCTTTCAAAATGTGATTGGGAAGGGTTTTATAAAAAGCCCTCACAAAGGGAGTCCTGAACAGCTCATATTTGTATCTCACAGGATTGAGAACATTCAAATACAAAAGACCTTCAATTGGACACCCAGTAATGAGTTGCAAGAAAAAAACTCCAAAGATGGCACGAAAGAAAACACTTCCAAGGCTGAGATTTGACAGCATAACAGAAGAAGACAATTGCACCTGACCATCTTGAAACCCCTGTGGACACCTAGAAAGTTCAGCAACAGAAAGAAGCAAGAGGAGATGAGTGTTTGCAGGTCTGTCTTGCAGTCACGGCAATGAGAAGAAACTAAGTGGCATTCACACCTCAGCAATTTTTTGCTATAGGGTAGAAAACATGCTGACATTCATTTGCACATAGTCCTAGAAGATGTAGCTGGCCAAAAGATTTCAGCCTGAAGGAAACCCTGTGCAACACTTTTGGGAGAAAGTCATCACTCAGGAAAAAACTGCTTCTCAGATGATATCACAGTCAGTCTTTATTGCCTATTGTTCAGAGATAAATAGCCGGTTTTCTCTAATGAGAAGTGATAAGTGACTTTCAGGGCTTTCCCCAGGAAAGGAAAGGATTTCAGAAGGAAAAGCTAAGTCATCTGCCTTTCCCTGGCTATATTTTGTAAGCAAGTCAGACTACATTCTTAAGATTTTTAAAACACTTTTATTAATTTTTATTCCTTTTGACATGTTTTTATAGTAAAAGAACAGAGAATACCATATTACAATGCATATAGACTGAAGTCCTTCAACAAGCTGCTTTAACATATTTGCTTTCTTGCACTATAGCCACCTCTCACTGAAAAACGGAAGTTTCAGGTATTGTGGCTCATTAGAAAAAACTCAGAACCTCAGACAAAAAAACTATGAGTGTGTTTTAAGACTCTTCTTCTAAGCCTCAAAATTCCTTACAAGTAAAGGAATGAATGTGATTCCTATTAATGAATAGAAATTATTTTCAAAATAACTAACAAACTGTGTTGGCTCAAAACATTCCTCTTCTGATACAGCTCATCAGCCAGTTATGAGAGCTGGGTTATGGGTGCATTCCTGTTAGACTCCTCTGGGAAGGAGAATGGGGGAGTTCTCTGGTGGGAACTGGGGCTATGGCAATCAGATGGGGAACTACACCAGGACCTTCTAATTTGCTAAAACTTCAGTCCCTGGACTAAGGAGAATTTTGCTTTTACCCTAGTATTTTCTGACAAAGTATCTCACCGTCTGTGGGCTGCTTTCCCAAGGTCTGAGATGAAAAGAGAGCAAAATGGCGAATTAAAATTTCCTTCTCTTGTTTTTGTCTCACTTAAAAAAGCTTAAAAAAGGGAAAACTCAATCAAAATAGAGGCAGCCAGCTCGAAGGATTCAAAACTGGATCTAATGGGTCTTTTCCCAGAGAGAAGGGGACAGACTGAGAAGGTGGAATGAGGATCATATGTAACAGGATGGCATAATGGGAGGGAGAGCGTGAGAGTATTGCCATACATTCACATTTAACTGCAGAAGGAGAGGGCTAGTATATGAGCCTGAAAAAAAAAAGAAATCAGCTCCCTATAGTAAAAGCTAAATAAAGTAATTTATATAAAGAACACTTAGGGAAAGAAGAAAAGCATTAAAAGGTGAGAAAGGCGGGAGAAGCTGGAAGCAAGTGGAAAGCACAGACTGGCTCTGCCCAAGGAAGTAGCTGTGGGCTGCAATTAGCTAAATGGTACACGACTCTGGTGCTGCGATAGCGCTGCGGTTCTGAGCCCCTCCATGGCTTACTGCTGCGCCTGATGGCAGCAGTGCTGAATAATAAAAGCTGTACTCTGGACTGCCAACGGGAATTAATTTCCTTTAGCTTTTGGTGCCCAAGCTATATTTTAGCTGAAAACTGCTAGCTTTTATTCCTGGAATAATGGTAGCAGATAACTATGGCACCGCCATGGATTTATAGCAATGCTTTGTGTGTGGGGATCAATCGTTTAGACAGGATTTGCTCTCCTCTCCACAATCACTCCTTGCTGCCATGAACATGTTCAGCATAGGAAAGATAAGACAGGGGGAGGTAGTTCTTATGCAATGAGGCTTCTTAAACTAAAAGCAATGACTAAAAATTCCACCTCCTCTTATGAATACTATGTAGCTACAATAAACTTGCTCCTTGCCTGCAAACAAGCCAAAAGCCCTTCCTTAATGCCAGGGAGTGTCGGTGCCTTCCCTGAAGGTGTAAGTGGTGCCTCACCACTCGGCAGCACTCGGGCTGGCAGAGACCAGCAGACACAGATCGATGGGGTTAAGTGGATTCGCTCTGTGCCTGCATGTACACGGCCTGCCCTCCCCTGCCTCCCCGCTCGCTCTGCTGTTACTTCTCTCTGGGGACACCGTTTGCCTGCTCGTCTAAACAAGCTCCGGAGCTTGAAATTGCCAGGGAGTGGAGAGAGAAAAGCCTTCCTACTTATGAGGGGCAGGGTGAAGGGAGACGTGTCCTATGCTGAATGCAGGGAAGAGGGAGCAATTACTGCAATATCATTTTCTGCTGCATGTGGCAGGACCGCTGGCACAGTCTGGTGACAGATCATAAGGATTCTCTGTCTTAATAAGCAGCAAGCATGTCCTGGGGAGCAAATGTCTCATGTAAATATGTATTGGCATGGGGACATGCGTCACACAGGGCTTTCCATCAAAGGAGAGGAAATGCAGCATCATTTGGAGGGCTGCTTCTTTGGAACTGCAACCACAAAGGAATGAATAATAGGATTAATTCACTTAGCTATTGATCTCAGACACAGCACACATTTTCATTTAACGTTATGAGAACAGCCAGACTCTCATGGTTCATAGCCTGTGGGCAGTACAGCAGAGACAGCATTTGCAAGCCCTTTTCCCCATTTGCTGATGAGGTGAATCTTAGCAGCACGTTCCTTATGGTGAGCCACTGGGGAAGGATCTCCTATGGAAAACAACCTCATGTCTGGACTCGTGACTCTAATGCTGTTCTCTACAAATGTACTCTGAGCAAATAATTGGTGGCCCAAATAACACAGGGACCTACCCATGGAAATTCTGTATAGAAAGCTGAAGAAAGGGAGGGAAGCAAGAAAACAGAATAGGCTCATTTAATGAGGTCTGGATGTACATGCACACAATTTCTCAGCTAATCAGGGAAAAAGTTCAGATACAGCCTCCCCATATCACCATAAACATTGAAGATCTATGACAGTGAGAGAAGAAAGCATATGGTGCAGGGACACATTAAGACATTTTTCAGTAGCTTCATCGCATGGAACATGAGGTCTGCTCAGGGTCCCAAATAACTTCTTTGCCAAATTAATCTGCAAAATTAAGTTTCTCATAACTAGCTCTTACAAAACCACCCTGCCCATAAGCAAGTGGGTGCAAGGGCCAAAAGTAAGTGTCAAAGGTGGTAAAGACCATGCTGGGATCTGTGGAGTGTCACCAGGTGACCCCAGTAGAGATGCTGACACCTTAGATGATCCCAAACTGGGCCAGCTCGTGCAGTTCCAGATGGCTGAAAGCTTCCCATGGGCAAATCACGGTGATATCTGCAAAAGAGAGAAAATGACAAATGTGTTCTTGATCTTGCACTCCTTGGATTTATTTTGTATTAATGGAAAGGCTGATTTACTCAGGAAACGTTAACAAGAATGAGATTCCATTTAAAGGTTAAATGAGAAGATGAGTATTTCCAGTCTGGTACTACCTGTCAGACCAAAGCAGATCAGTGTACTTTCTCTCTGTAAGCAAAAGCAAGCCAGCAGTTCCTAGTCTTTTCAGTGACTATGTAAACTGGTGTAACAGTTAATTCCAGTTATGTGGTTTCTCCTCTTCTTATAAATTACCTGTAGCCAAACTGTGATCTCCTGGAAGGCATGTGCAGTTTTAGATCAGATGCTGAATAATTTGGCCTACAATATTCAGGATCTGTAACTCTCTCTTCATCAATACTTCAAAGTTCTGACTGGTTACAGTTCATCCAATGCATGTTTCTCAATCCCAGATGGGTACATAAAATTCTTAAAATTAGGATTCTGATGACAACACAAATACTTAACCATCTGGGATTTAGTTTCTGTGATTTTTTGGTATTAATAGCTTAGCATTTAGCATTTATTTGAGAATCTCATGCTGCTGAAATTCTTAGCCAGAGTATTAGCAGAAAACAAACAAGCACTTCTGCAGCCCAGTGTAGGTAGTCTGAAGCTGAAGCATACATAAATGGTCATTTCTTCATGTAGTGCCTAAGCATGGACGTGGCAGCTTGGGGAGGCAGAACTAATCTTCTCTGGTGACCCTGAGAGCTGCAGACAGGCCAGGGAAACAGAGGCACCCCTGAATCCTCTCCCATGATCAGGTTTGTCTGCACTAGTGCTAAAGAGAGCATGACAACAACATCCTGCATAGTTTACCTGTGCCCAGCCCCTCCATGCCTGGGATGTCATCTCCAAACCTAGAAGAGAAAAGAGCAGGTAAGGAGTGAGTTTGGGACAGCAGCAGGGAAAGAGGAGATGCCCTAAAGCCCCAGCCAAGGAGGAAGAATAGTGGGTAGAGAGCAGGAGAGAAGCAGCTCCAGGCTGGAGAGCTGAGGGGGCAGGGGGAAGCCTTCTGGCTCCTTGCCCAAGGGAAGATGCACAGAAGCACAATGTAGCAGCGTGGAGCTACTCAACCAGCACGGTTCCTTTTCTTTCCAAAACTCCCTTACCCTCTTACTCCTTTTTTGGGGGGCTTGCTCTTGAACTGCCTTGTCTGCCTCTGCTTGAACTTGGGAGGCCCCTTGCGTGGTGTGGTGGGGCCGGTTGGAGCATCGCCGGTGTTGAGGTTGGCGGCTGGGGTCTCACTCATCGCTGGGCTGTGTGCAGCAGGCACGTGCCTCTCTCAGATCCCTCTGCCTGCAAGATAACAGCAAGGACTGACACAACGCTCTGCTTATCTTTTCTGGGTATCAGTAGTCAGATGACAGAATTATGGAAAATATAATTGTGACAGGATTAAAGATAATGGTATTAAAGATAATAAAGAAAGATTGTAATGAGTACAAATTAAGCAGGGTAGCGCTGCCTTTCATCTGGCATGCTAGAATTAAGATGCCAAGCAAAGCACACTTGATCTAAGGCCAAAGACATTTACCCCATGGTGCAATGTCTTGGAGAGCCAGGGAGACTAACACCTCCTTTTGTCTCAAACACAGTTGCACTCTTGGAAACAGGTTGCTGCAGAAGCTTGCCCCACAATTTAGGTAAAATAGCAAGTTTAATGCCAATGCTGGATTTTTTTTCCTAGCTAGCCTTGAAATAGCATTGCTGAGGTTTTTGCTTACTGGTTCAGGGCCTGACTACTACAGGAGCCATGAAGACACATGTACGGCTTAGAGAAATATCCTGTCCTTGGGAATCACCATGATATACTTCATCTGTTCTCATACTTGTGCCTAAGCATTACCTTTAGAACACTGATGGACATGGGATGCTGGGCTGGAAGGGTCCCTTGTCTGGGTGGAGCTGCAGTTAG